GGGGGTCCGTTGATTACCCATCAACCCGCGAAATACCCGTGGTTATCGTGTAACTCGATATCACACCGTTATGTCGTATTTACCGAGGTCCTTAATTTAACAAAATTCAGGCAGAGTCTCCTTTGTACGGGAAGCTCTACCCAAAATACAACCTGTGCAATATATATTAACATGACCCGTCCGAGGCGTCATATAACACAATGACCACACAGGGTCCATTTATAAGGAAAACTTGATCACACCAGGTCCAATCATCCATATTTATATCAAACACATGCAAGGTTAGTTTAACAATAGTCCANGAATACAACCTGTGCAATATATATTAACATCACCCGTCCGAGACGTCATATAACACAATGACCACACAGGGTCCATTTATAAGGAAAACTTGATCACACCGGGTCCAATCATCCATATTTATATCAAACACATGCAAGGTTAGTTTAACAATAGTCCATATAAGTTCTATTACAATTTAAAAGATTACATGCTTAAAATATTCCGTCCACAAATATTTTACATCAACACAAAATAAAGCCACATTCGGCTTTCTTCAAACATGAGGGTCCAAATTGGAGCCATCCACCGGTGTACCTCTCCCACCTGAAATGTTTCCCATATAGGGTGAGCCAACGCTCAGTAGAAAAACTCCTANTGGGTATCAGATTCAGGAATCGCACCTCCGGCTTTGTACGCCGTTACACTTTTTTGAAATTTCACCGCCGGTAAGTGTATTAATCAAGTGGCCGGGTTTTTCACCCGATGGAGTATCTAGCCCTACTTGCTATACCCGACACAAGTTTTCTTATGCATGTAACTGTGCGACTCGGTAGGATGTTCCATCCCACTTTTTCGAGCCCACCATCAAGCACCAATGTTGGTGTTGATCACCCTATGCAACTCTACACCCACACTCATACATGTAGCCCATGAATGTGATGTCAATTCCATGTCCATATTACAATGCATGCCAAATGAATAATTTTTACATATCAATGTATACAAAGGGTAATTTATATCATTTACATATAATCACCACAACCGTTTCAAGTTCAATATATCCAAACATATAAATTCCATGATCATCATAATGCTAACATATCGTTAAACATACATCAACATAACATTTATAATTGTAAATCACATCATAAGCATGTAATTTTACTTTACCACATTTTCCAAGCATGCTATTTTCTCAAACACAACAAACACCTTCAAGGCACCAATCACATAATCACATAATTGAAGTATTTTAGAACCTTGCAACTATCTTGGATGTGTGGTGAAGGTATGGCCAAATTACATGAGGATTTGGAGGCTTAGAAGTTAAGAAATCAAATAGGTGTTGGTGTTTGATAACAAAGACACCAGCACTAGCTCCCGCTGGTGGAAGTACCTTTGTTTTTCTCCATTTTGACCATGATCTACTCAGAATCTAGAAAAGTTCAAAACACAAAAGTTGTAGATCTAGATGTCTTCTGTATCGTGTCGACATTTAAGCCCAATCCAACGATTGGATCAATCGTTATGACGATTCTACGATAACTGGTCCGAAGTAGAAAAGTGTACCAACTTTTCTTGTTATCACATAATATTGCCCACATCTTTATAAATCACATGTGAGCACATAACATACCCAAACACATCAAATCCCAAGGAATCACACAAGTAACTTCCTTTTGGCAATTTTTACTAGGAATTTATATTGGCCCAATTCCACACCCATTTCCTTAGCCATATACATAAATGAGTCAATATATATAAGCACATATATTCAACCATCCCCACATAGACATTCTGGGCTAAGAATAGACCCAAGTAGGAGAACCCCTACCTAAATAGAAGTGTAGAGACTTCTATTCCACCAAAACAAGCCCCAAAGCTTTGATCCTCCAAGACATTGTCTTTGAATCTTTGGTAAAAGTCTTCGTTTTTGGTACCCACGTGTAGCCCTCGTCACGTAGATCGACTTTAGTTCTTGGTCTGACGGATTCTGGACAACGGATCTTGAGAAATTGCCGGAAGAAAATTTGGAAAAACACTCTTTCTCTCTTTTGACGCCTGAACCAGCCAGCCTTTTGGGGAAGAAAATCTGATTTTTTTTCAGATATTATGCCCCTTTTATACTTTTAAAGACTTGGCCCTCGTTGCGCCAAGTTTCCTCCTTTGTTCGGGTCCGTTTTTTGCTCTGAAACTATTAAATTTCGTATCGGTTTAAGCTCAAAATATTTTATATGCACTTTATTTAAAATATTTTCTAAATTTTAAAATATTTATAAAAATTTCGCTTTTAGGGGTCATTGGAAACCTGTCACCTCGAAAAATGAGAAAAATTTGACTATCTCAAAATTCGACGAAATTTATCTCGTTAACTAGATTTCGTGAGACGAATCCAACGGTGAGGTTCGTTTCATCATCTGAGGTTTAGAAAAATATCAGTTTTTAACCTGCACTATAATATCAAATTACCATTTTACCCCTTTTTCAGAAAAAGTTCAAATTTTTCCCGAGTTTCACACAGATGCCCTTGTCCTTGTTATGTTTCTCCGTGGAAAGTCCCTCTCCGACGTCTTGTGCAGCTTCACTTGGACCTCTTTGCTCCATGGTTCATCACGGCCTCCAACGATTATGGCACCCCCAACAATCCTCGCTAGGCACACACCCTTACGAATTTCGGCCTTGGACTTGAACAAGTCCTCTTGAAGGCCTCTTGTCTCTTCTTCACTTGAGTTGACTTGATCACTCAACCAGAACACCTTATCTAGTTGCTTGAATAATTGCACAAACTATTGACCATATACATCTCGAATATCCTTATAGTAATCTTCATCCTCCGCACACGTTGGGATTTCCTTGTCCTTGTCATTTACCTCCGTGGTAGGACTTGCTACAACTACCTTCATGGAAGTCTCTCTGTGGCGGAGAGGAGAGAGGTCCTCTGGTGGTGGTAAAGTTATATTCATCGTCTCAAGAAGAGAAGAGTCATCTCCCATGGTCGACTCACTTTCACGATCGTGCCACTTGGCTTTCATAGCCCTCCAAATTTCATAGTGCAAACCACTCTTCTCTTTATGTGTGCTTTCCGATAAAACGTATCCAAATCCTTGACATTCAAAGCATTGCAAACCTTACCCCTTTTTGTCAACTTCTTTTCGAGAGTCCCTTCCCCATATTTCTCTTCCTTCCGTAGGAGTGCTATGTCTACTAGGCATTCCTTTCAGCCTTGTCCACACAACAATACCAGTCTAGAAATATTTTTTGAACTTCTCTGCCATCCCAAGTCCCCCTCTCAAAATCGGTGTGACCCGAATTTACCTTCTCCTTGATTACTTGAGCTCAAGGTCGTGCCTTTAGCTTACTTTAAGGATGGAAGGATCATCACAGAAGTCAGGATACACACCACTAGGTCTTCTACCGACACCAAGTCTATGTTGACACTTGTCTCCAAGGATGAGACCTTTACACAAAATCTCCCGCTTAGTGATATCAAGATTTTCCACTTGATGGCTATATTGTCAACCCTTGATACCTAATGCAAATAATTAAATTACAGTGTTATGCAATTTAGTAGGAAATTCACTAAATGTTTCATCATCTTATATCCTCAAACTCTCGAACTGAGAGGTCTACCTCCAGAGTTGAGACATCTCCCCCAAGGAAGTCCCTCAATGGGAAACTACCAGTTTCCCGCATGCCTCATTTGATGTTTTGTAATTAGCGATCCATCTGAACTCATTTGGTGACGCGCCATTGAATGTCGCACTCAAGCCTTTTGAGTTTCACGCCGTGGACTCAGTCTCATTTCTAATCCATAGCTTTGATGATTTTAGTTCAACCACCACTTCACCACTTTCAACTTGTGTGGTGGTCGTGGCAGGCCTCCAACCCTCTTGGAGAGTCAACCACACTCTCTCATCAATCGATTTATGAAAATGCTCTCCAACCAACTTTTCATTTTGCAAAGTTCGATCCATCGAAGAGTGGTGGTCGTCCAATTGAACCACTTTCCTTTTGAGAACCCATTCAAAACTAACTAGTAGTAATGATATGTTTCTCCACAATAACCTAGAGCGGGGTGAATTCATTTTTTCAGTTCAGCCCAAATTGATTACGAATTAAAACCTACGTCGACCAAAATCACCGCTTTCTTATAAATATGAAGCAATGAATGTGAGAAACCGTTCAGTCACCGCAAACGCTTTGAACCATGAGGATTTATTTTAATTAATATGCATTTAAATCACTCAGCTCACTCTCACAGCGATCCCAACAAACCCATAAACTCATTTGTACAGCTATGGTTGAAAGATTCCATACAATCAAATAAACAACCACACAGTGCGTGTGTCTGCTAACAAATGCAAGTGTGTACAATAGAAAGTAAAGATCCCTAGCTACTTATTGATGCGAAAAACCCACTCTGAAAAAACCTCAAGGAACCTCCCTAGGTTCACCAAGGCAGAATCCACTACTTTTGATGTCGGCATGCAAGTAATCGAGAATTATACCTCAACCAATACCTTGGTCAAATGCTCTTGTCCCTGCTATGTTTCTTCATGGATAGTCCCTCTCCGATTTCTTGTGCAGCTTCACTTGGACCTCTTTGCCCCACGGTTCATCTCGGCCTTGAGCGATTATGGGCACCCCCAACAATCCTCACTAGGCACACACTAGTGATTTCAGTTTCATTTGCAACTTTCTTCTTTGAATTCCCGCCCTTACCATTCTTAAAAAATTTTGAGCATGTGCCAACTTGTCGGGGTGATGGGTTGGAGATACACTTGACAAACACTGCCTTGGAAGAAGTGTGGTTCATTTGTGTTGACTAAACCACGGTTGTCACCCATAGGTATTCCCACAGAAAACATCCTACCAAACCTCTCATTGGGTTGGGGTTGTCTATTGGAGAACTCATTCAATTCACGAAGTTCTTTATCAAGTTTGACACATTTTGACTCAAGATTCTTCTTAAATTGGACGAGCTCTTGCCACTCTCTCTAAAGAAAACGCATTCGGTCAGGGACAGACTTGTTCTCATCTTCTAGGCTTAATATTTGGGCCTTGGACAAGAACAAGCCCTCTTGAAGGTCTCTTGTCTCTTCTTCACTTGACTTGACTTGATCACTCAAGTAGAGCACCTTATTGCTTGAATAATTGCAAAAAATATTGACCCCATATACATCTCGAATGTCCTCATAGTAATCTTCATCCTCCACACAAGTGGGGATTTCCATGCCCTTGACATGTACCTTCGTGGTAGGACTTGGTACAACTACATTCGTGGAAGTTTCTCTGTGGGGGAGAGGAGAGAGGGCCTTCAGTGGCCGTAAAGTTATATTCATCATCTCGAGAAGAGAAAAGTCATCCCCCAAGGTCAACTCACTTTCACAATCATGCCACTTGGCTTTCATAACCCTCAAAATTTCACTGTGCAAACCACTCTTCTCTTTATGTGTGCTTTCCGATAAAACGTATCCAAATCCTTTACATTCAAAGCATTGCAAACCTTGCCCCTTTTTGTCAACTTCTTTTCGAGAGTCCCTTCCCCTTATTTCTCTTCATTCCAGAGGAGTGCGATGTCTACCTGGCATTCCTTCCGGCCCACAACATTACTAGTCCTGAAATATTTTTTGAACTCCTCTGCCATCCCAAGTCCTCCTTGCAAAGTAGGTGTGACCCGGATTTACCTCCTCCATGATTATTTGGGCTCAAGGCCGTGCCCTTAGCTTACTTTAAAGATGAAAGGATCATCTCAGAGATCAAGATACACTCCACAAGGTCTTTTACCGACACCAAGTCTATGTTGACACATGTCTCCAAGGAAGAGACCTTTACATGAAATCTCCCGGTTAGAGATATCAAGATTTTTCAGCTCGATGGCCACATCGTCAACCCTTGATACCTAATGCAAATAGTTAAATTACATTGTCATGTAATTTAGTAGGAAATTCACAAAATGTTTTATTATCTTGTATCCTCAAACTCTGGAACTCAGAGCTCCACCTCTGGAGTCGAGACATCTCCACCAAGGAAGTCCCTCCGTGGGAAACAACTAGTTTCCCACACGACTCATTTGAAGTTTTGCAATTAGCGATCCTTCAGAACTCATTTGGTGTCGCGGCCCTGAATGTTGCATTCAAGCCTATTGAGTTTGACGCCATGGACTCATTCTCATTTATAATCCATAGCTTTGACGATTTTAATTCAACCACCACTTCACCACTTTCAACTTGTGTTGTGGTCGTGGAAGGCCTGTAACCCTCTTGGAGAGTCAACCACACTCTCTCATCAATCGATTGATGAAAATGCCCTCCCACCAGCATTTCATTTTGCAAAGTTCGATCCATCGAAGAGTGGTGGTTGTCCAATTGAACCACTTTCCTTTTGCGAACCCATTCAAAACTAACTAGTAGTAATGATACGCTTCTCCACAATAACCCGGAGCGGGGTGAATTCATTTTTCAAGTTCAGCCCAAATTGATTACGAATTAAAACCTATGTCGACCACAATTACCACTTTCTTATAAATATGAAGCAATGAATGTGAGAAACTGTTCAGTCGCCGCAAACCCTTTGTACCATGAGGATTAATTTAAATTAATATGCAATGAAATCACTTAGCTCACTCTCACGGCGATCCCAACAAACCCATAAACCAAATTGTACACCTATGGTTGAAATATTTTCGTACAATCAAATAAACAACCTCACAGTGCGTGTGTGTGCACTGACAAATGCAAGTGTGTACACCTCGAGGAACCTCCCTAGGTTCACAAAGTCAGAATCCACTACTTTTGAAGTCAGCATGCAAGTACTCGAGAATTATACCTCAACCAATACCCTGGTTAAATGCTCTTGTCCCTGCTATGTTTCTCCGTGGAAAGTCCCTCCCGACGTCTTGTGCAACTTCACTTGGACCTCTTTGCCCCACGGTTCATCTCGGCCTCGAGCGATTATGGAAACCCCCAACAATCCTCGCGAGGCACACACCAGTTATTTCGGTTTCATTAGCAACTTTCTTCTTTGAATTCTCACCCTTACCATTCTTAAAAAATTTTGAGCATGTGCCAACTTGTCGGGGTGATGGGTTGGTGATACACTTGACAAGCACGGCCTTGGAAGAAGTGTGGGTGCGTTCATTTGTGTTGCCTAAACCACGGTTGTCACCCATACGTATTCCCATAGAAAACATCCTACCAAACGTCTCATTGGGTTGGGGATGTCAATTGGAGAGCTCATTCGACTCACGAAGATCTTTATCAAGTTTGACACATTTTGACTCATAATTCTTCTCAGATTGGACGAGCTCTTGCCACTCTCTCTAAAGAAAACGCATTCGGTCAGGGTGAAACTTGTTCTCATCTTCTAGGCTACGTATTGGGGCCTTGGACTTATACCTTAACCAATACCCTGGTAACATGCTCTAGTCCCTGCTATGTTTCTCCAAGGAAAGTCCCTTTCCGACGTCTTGTGCCGCTTCACTTGGACCACTTTGCCCCACGATTCATGTCGGCCTCGAACAATTATGGGCACCCCCAACAATCCTCGCTAGGCATACACCAGTGATTTCAGTTTCATTAGCAACTTTCTTCTTTGAATTCCCACCCTTATCATTCTTAAAAACTTTTGAGCATGTGCCAACTTGTCGGGGTGATGGGTTGGTGATACACTTGACAAACACGGCCTTGGAAGAAGTGAGGGTGCATTCATTTGTTTTGCCTAAACCACGGTTGTCACCCATACATATTCCCATAGAAAACATCCTACCAAACGTCTCATTGGGTTGGGGATGTGTATTGGAGAGCTCATTCGATTCATGAAGATCTTTATCAAGTTTGACACATTTTGACTCAAGATTCTTCTCAGATTGGACAAGCTCTTGCCACTCTCCCTAAGGAAAATGCATTTGTTCAGGGAGAGATTTGTTCTCATCTTCTAGGCTACGTATTTGGGCCTTGGACTAGAACAAGTCTTCTTGAAGGTCTCTTGTCCCATCTTCACCTGAGTTGACTTGATCACTCAAGTAGAGCACATTATCTTTTTGCTTGAAAAATTGCAGAAACTATTGACCCCTTATACATCTCGAATATCCTCATAGTAACCTTCATCCTCCACACAAGTGGGGATTTCCTTGCCCTTGTCATGTACCTCCGTGGTAGGACTTGCTACAACTACATTCGTGGAAGTTTGTCTGTGGGGGAGAGGAAAGAGGTCCTCTAGTGGCCGTAAAGTTATATTCATCGTCTCGAGAAGAGAAGAGTCATCTCCCAAGGTCGACTTCCTTACACAATCGTGCCACTTGGCTTTCATAGCCCTCCAAATTTCACTGTGCAAACCACCCTTCTATTTATGTGTGCTTTCCGATAAAACGTATCCAAATCCTTGACATTCAAAGCATTGCAAACCTTGCCCATTTTTGTCAACTTCTTTTCGAGAGTCCCTTACCTTTATTTCTCTTCCTTCCGTAGGAGTGCTACGTCTACTAGGCATTCCTTTTGGCGCTGTGGACACAACATTACCAGTCCTGAAATATTTTTTGAACTTCTCTACCATCCCCGGTCCTCCTCGCAAAATCGATGTGACCCGGATTTACCTCCTCCATGATTATATGAGATCAAGGCCGTGCCCTTTGCTTACTTTAAGGATGGAAGGATCATCTCAGAGGTCAGGATACACACCACTAGGTCTTCTACCGACACCAAGTCTATGTTGACACTTGTCTCCAAGGATGAGACCTTTACACGAAAGCCCCCGGTTAGAGATATCAAGATTTTTAGCTTGTTGGCCACATCGTCAGCCCTAGATACCTAATGCAAATAATTAAATTACAGTGTCATGTAATTTAGTACAAAATTCACTAAATGTTTCATTTTCTTGTATCCACAAACTCTCGAACTGAGAGGTCCACCTCTGGAGTTGAAACATCTCCACCAAGGAAGTCCCTCCGTGGGAAACGACCAGTTTCCCGTACGCCTCATTTAAAGTTTTGCAATTAGCGACCCTTCGGAACTCATTTGGCGTCGCGGCATTGAATGTCGCATTCAAGCCTTCTGAGTTTCATGCCATGGACTCATTCTCATTTCTAATCCATAGCTTCGACGATTTTAGTTCAACCATCACTTCACCACTTTCAACTTGTGTGGTGGTCGTGGAAGGCCTCCAACCCTCTTTGAGAGTCAACCACACTCTCTCATCAATCGATTTATGAAAATGCTCTCCCACCAGCTTTTCATTTTGCAAAGTTCGATCCATTGAAGAGTGGTGGTCGTCCAATTGAACCACTTTCCTTTTGAGCACCCATTCAAAACTAACTAGTAGTAATGTGAGGTTTCTCCACAATAACCTAGAGCGGGGTGAATTCATTTTTCAAGTTCAGCCCAAATTGATTACGAATTAAAACCTATGTCGACCACAATTACCCCTTTTCTTACAAATATGAAGCAATGAATGTGAGAAACCGTTCAGTCACCGCAAACACTTTGTACAATGAGAATTTATTTTAATTAATATGCAATTAAATCACTCTGCTCACTCTCATGGCCGTCCCAACAAACCTATAAACCCAATTGTACAGGTATGGTTGAAAGATTTCCGTACAATCAAATAAACAGCCACACAGTGCGTGTGTGTGCTAACAAATGCAAGTGTGTACAATAGAAAGTAAAGACCACTAGCTACTTTTTGACGTGAAAAACCCCCTCTAAAAAAATCTCGAGGAACCTCCCTAGGTTCACCAAGGCAGAATCCACTACTTTCGAAGTTGGCATGCAAGTACTCGAGAATTATACCTCAACCAATACCCTGGTCCGACGCCCTTGTCCCTACTATGTTTCACCGTGGAAAGTCCCTCTCTGATGTCTTGTGCAGCTTCACTTGAACCTCTTTGCCCCACGGTTCATCTCGGCCTCGAGCGATTATGGGCACCCCAACAATCCTCGCTAGGTACACACCGGTGATTTTGGTTTCATTAGCAACTTTCCTCTTTGAATTCCCACCCTTACCATTCTTAAAAACTTTTGAGCATGCGCCAACTTGTTGGGGTGATGGGTTGGTGATACACTTGACAAACACGGCCTTCGAAGAAGTGTGGGTGCATTCATTTGTGTTGCCTAAGCCAAGGTTGTCACCCATACATATTCCCATAGAAAACATCCTACCAAATGTCTCATTGGGTTGGGGATGTCTGTTGGAGAGCTCATTCGATTCACGAAGATCTTTATCAAGTTTGACACATTTTGACTCAAGATTCTTCTCAGAATGGACGAGTTCTTGCCACTCTCTCTAAAGAAAACGCATTTGGTCAGGGAGAGACTTGTTCTCATCTTCTAGGCTACGTATTTGGGCCTTGGACTAGAACAAGTCCTCTTGATGGTCTCTTGTCACTTCTTCACCTGAGTTGACTTGATCACTAAAGTAGAGCACCTTATCTTGGTGCTTGAATAATTGCACAAACTATTGACCCCATATACATCTCGAATATCCTCATAGTAATCTTCATCCTCCACACAAGTGGGGATTTCCTTGCCCTNTCTTGTCACTTCTTCACCTGAGTTGACTTGATCACTAAAGTAGAGCACCTTATCTTGGTGCTTGAATAATTGCACAAACTATTGACCCCATATACATCTCGAATATCCTCATAGTAATCTTAATCCACCACACAAGTGGGGATTTCCTTGCCCTTGTCATGTACCTCCGTGGTAGGACTTGCTACAACTACATTCATGGAAGTTTCTGTGTGTGGGAGAGGAGAGAGGTCCTATAGTGGCCATAAAGTTATATTCGTCGTCTCGAGAAGAGAAGAGTCATCTACCAAGGTCGACTTCCTTACACAATCGTGCCACTTGGCTTTCATAGCCCACCAAATTTCACTGTGCAAACCACTCTTCTCTTTATGTGTGCTTTCCAAAAAAACGTATCCAAATCCTTGACATTCAAAGCATTGCAAATGTTGCCCCTTTTTGTCAACTTCATTTCAAGAGTCCCTTCCCTTTTTTCTCTTCCTTCCGTAGGAGTGCTATGTGTACAAGGCATTCCTTTTGGCCCTGTGGACACAACATTACCAGTCCTGAAATATTTTTTGAACTTCTCTGCCATCCCAAGTCGTCCTCGCAAAATTGGTGTGACCCGGATTTACCTCCTGTATAATTATTTGAGCTCAAGGTCATGCCATAGGTTGCTTTAAGGATGGAAGGATCATCTCAGAGGTCAGGATACAGACCACTAGGTCTTCTACTGACACCAAGTCTATGTTGACACTTGTCTCCAAGGATGAGACTTTTACACGAAATCTCCCGGTTACAGATATTAAGATTTTTAGCTTGATGGTCACATTGTCAACCATTGATACGTAATGCAAATAATTAAATTAAAGTGTCATGTCATTTAGTAGGAAATTCACTAAATGTTTCATTATCTTGTATCCTCATACTCTCATACTAAGTGGTCCACCTCTGGAGTCGAGGCATCTCCACCAAGGAAGTCCCTCCGTGGGAAACAACCAATTTCCCGCACGCCTCATTTGAAGTTTGGCAATTAGCGATCCTTCGGAACGTATTTGGTGTCGCGGCATTGAATGTCGCATTGAAGCCTTTAGAGTTTCACGCGCGTGGACTCATTCTCATTTCTAATCCATAGCTTCGACGATTTTAGTTCAACGATCACCTTCAACTTGTGTGGTGGTCGCGAAAGGCCTCCGACCCTCTTGGGGAGTCAACCACACTCTCTCATTAATCGATTTATGAAAATGCTGTCCAACCAGCTTTTCATTTTGCAAAGTTTGATCCATCGAAGAGTGGTGGTCGTCCAATTGAACCATTTTCCTTTTGTGAACCCATTCAAAACTATCTAGTAGTAATGAGGGCTTTCTCCACAATAACCCAGAGCGGGGTGAATTCATTTTTCAAGTTCAACCCAAATTGATTACGAATTAAAACCTATGTCGACCACAGTTACCCCTTTTTTACAAATATGACGCAATGAATGTGAGAAACTGTTCAGTCGCCGCAAACCCTTTGTACCATGACAATTGATTTAAATTAATTTGCGATTAAATCACTCAGCTCACTCACACGGCGATCCCAACAAACCCATAAACCCAATTCTACACCTATTGTTGAAAGATTTTTGTACAATCAAATAAACAACCACACAGTTCGTGTGTGTGGTAACAATTGCAAGTGTGTACAATAGAAAGTAAAGACCACTAGCTATTTGTTGACGCGAAAAACCCCCTCTGAAAAATCCTCGAGGAACCCCCCTAGGTTCACCAAGGCAGAATCCACTACTTTCGATGTGGGCATGCAAGTACTCAAGAATTATACCTCAACCAATACCATGGTCAGATGCTCTTGTCCCTACTGTGTTTCTTCGTGGAAAGTCTCTCTCTGACGTCTTGTGCAGCTTCACATGGACCTCTTTGTCCCACGGTTTATCTCGGCCTCGAGCGACTATGGGCACGCCCAACAATTCTCGCTAGGCATACATCAGTGATTTCGGTTTCATTAGCAACTTTCCTCTTTGAATTCCCACCCTTACCATTCTTAAAAACTTTTGAGCATGCGCCAACTTGTTGGGGTGATGAGTTGGGGATACACTTGACAAACACGGCCTTGGAAGAAGTGTGGGTGCGTTCTTTTGTGTTGCCCAAACCACGGTTGTCACCCATAGGTATTCCATAGAAAACATCCTACGAAACGTCCCATTGNAGTTGGGGATACACTTGACAAACACGGCCTTGGAAGAAGTGTGGGTGCGTTCTTTTGTGTTGCCCAAACCACGGTTGTCACCCATAGGTATTCCATAGAAAACATCCTACGAAACGTCCCATTGGGTTGGGGATGTCTATTGGAGAGGTCATTCGATTCACAAAAGATCTTTATCAAGTTTGACACATTTTGACACAAGATTNACGAAGATCTTTATCAAGTTTGACACATTTTGACTCATAATTCTTCTCAGATTGGACGAGCTCTTGCCACTCTCTCTAAAGAAAACGCATTCGGTCAGGGTGAAACTTGTTCTCATCTTCTAGGCTACGTATTGGGGCCTTGGACTTATACCTTAACCAATACCCTGGTAACATGCTCTAGTCCCTGCTATGTTTCTCCAAGGAAAGTCCCTTTCCGACGTCTTGTGCCGCTTCACTTGGACCACTTTGCCCCACGATTCATGTCGGCCTCGAACAATTATGGGCACCCCCAACAATCCTCGCTAGGCATACACCAGTGATTTCAGTTTCATTAGCAACTTTCTTCTTTGAATTCCCACCCTTATCATTCTTAAAAACTTTTGAGCATGTGCCAACTTGTCGGGGTGATGGGTTGGTGATACACTTGACAAACACGGCCTTGGAAGAAGTGAGGGTGCATTCATTTGTTTTGCCTAAACCACGGTTGTCACCCATACATATTCCCATAGAAAACATCCTACCAAACGTCTCATTGGGTTGGGGATGTGTATTGGAGAGCTCATTCGATTCATGAAGATCTTTATCAAGTTTGACACATTTTGACTCAAGATTCTTCTCAGATT